CTAATTGATCATCTATAAAATTTTAATTAGATAACAAACACTGATTGTAGGATCCGCAACCACCAGAACCATGGTCCAGCGACAGAGACGCTTCGTCTAAAACGGAAACGTCTGTCTTCAGATGGTAACGAACATTGTCATAGGCGAAGAAGACTGTCTCTATTTGAACGTGTATACCAACGATGTAATATCTCCAAAGAAAAGTGCTGTGATGGTATGGATACATGGTGGAGGCTTTTTTGTGGGAGACGGTACCCTTCGTTGTATTACGGTCCCGATTATATCATGCGGAAGGATGTGGTACTCGTCACCCTGAATTACAGATTAGGTGTTCTAGGTACATTATTAATTAGCTCAAAATCATTTTATGTTACTTGCGTTCAATGTTCTATCTACCTTTTTTTTTAGTAAACACATACACACGCATTCTACTTTCTACGCTCCAAATAATTTACGTGTATTATGATTCTTTTAAATTATAAATTCAAACAATAATCAATTATCATAACTTTTTATAAATTTTAACGTTTCATAACTTTTTTTATAAATTATGTTTTCATTAACAATTGTCAAATTATAAGTAATTAAAAACTCGTGAAATCAATTTATTTAATCGTTGTAATTTTTATATATTTATATAAGTTATATAAATAAATAGGAATTTTAAATAATCGGCCAAACTAGCAGAAATTAAAATTTATTAAGTTTGCGACGTTTCGAACATGTGGATGTGGTACTTTTCAAATGAAAACGTTTAAAACATTTGCACCACATGGTCAAAACGTCGTGAAACCTAATTAATTTTAATTTGTGCTAGTTTGGTCGGCTATTTAATATTCCTTATTTTACTGACTAGCAAATACGAATATTTAAGACTTGATAGTAAACTTTACTGAACGTATTAACGACATGTTTCTCTCATTCTCTCTTTAGGTTTTCTCAATTTTTATAAGGAAATGGCGACAGGAAATCAGGGTTTAAAAGATGTAGTTATGGCGTTAAGATGGGTTAAAAGAAATATATTGCAATTCGGTGGAGATCCCGATAACGTCACAATTTTTGGTCAAAATGCGGGTGGAGTGATGGTTCATTATCTAACTATTTCACCGTTAGCTAAAGGTACGAATCAACAGGACATAATATTAATATACATATATTAAGAATATTAGAAACACATTTTACACAAAAAAAAATTTAAAACATTTTATATTTGCTGTAGCAAAAAAATTTTTAATAAGATTTTTTTTTCATTCTAACTTAAATTTCGATTGCAAACTATATAATATCGACGTTTTAAAACATCGTAGAAAATTACTTAGAAGATACCTGATAACATCTTTCAGTAAAAAAATATCGATTCTAAATTGAGAATTGAAAATTAAAACCACGCTGATTAATTTTATGTGTCATATCGAGTCAAAGAGGAAAAATGTAAAAATCTCATGATAAAGTCGTATTAAACTTCAAGTGACAATTATATTATGTGCGAATGTGTGCTTAACAGGTTTATTTCATAAAGCAATATGTCAAAGTGGTGTCATGACAGTTCCTTGGGCTTTCACTGAACAAGACGATGCTATCAATAACGGTCTGATGTTAGCCCAGAAGCTTGGTAATGCGACTTTTGATCCGGAAGACGCCTTGAAATTTCTGAAAGACATAGACGGAAGAAAATTGATAGCAGCGGAGGTCTTTTGACGCTCTATTACGATTATTGCAATAATAATGTTCGATGAATTACTATAAACTATTTTTTATATTAAGAATATTATGTTCTTGCAGATTGGCTTAGATATTTTGCTTGCATTTACGCCGACCGTGGATTCCAAGTCATCGAATCCTTTTTTACCAGAAAATCCATTGCAATTATTACGTAATGGAATTGAAATACCAATTATGTTCGGATATAATAGCCAGGAAGGCAATTGTTTCATAAATGCCACTTTTGTCGGCCGTAAATATATATATTTGCTTTTGCTTTTCATTATTACACATTATTAATTATTAGTATATCATGAATCACTATTTTATGTAGAATTTTCATAGAAAAACGATCTGCAATATTTTGAAAATGTTTTGATGAACATAGAATGTTATAATAAATTTAATCAATATTAATAATTAATAGCAGGTATCTTTATTGCCAGTGATGAATAAATTAAAAATAACTGTGAGACGACCCACTGGCTTAAATTGATTCTTATATTATTTTGATGTCATATACAAGAAAAGACAACGTTTCGACCTTAAGTTTAGGTCCTTATCAAGTCTAAAATTAAAATTAAAAATACAATAAATGTACATACAAGAATTTCGATTTTTAAGAAAGCAAAAAGTAAACCAAGATTGTAATAACAATTAGAACGTACCTTACAAAACTTTAGTACAATATATAATTAAGTTTTTTCATTTTACACATTTCAATATAAATACTGTGTCAAGTAAAACGTTCAGTATGAAATGAAAAAGCGAACCTTCTTGTATGTACATTTATTGTATTTTTTAATTTTAATTTTAGACTTGATAGGACCTAAACTGAAGTCGAACGTTGTCTTTTCTTGTATTGACATCAAACTAATAATAAGAATCAGTTTAAGCCAGTTGGGTCGTCTCACAGTTATTTTTAACAATATTAATAAGTTTCAGGATTTCATCAATATTAACTTTTAAATGTACAAAAAGATTATAATTATTTATTAATAAAACCGTTTTGTTTCACGTAATAGAGCTACATATATATTTATATTACCTAAATAAAAAATCATTATAGAAATTAAAAATTAAAATTAAAATTAAAATAAATAGAATCAAATAAAATTAAAATTAAAATCGTTATAAAAATTGTTTCAGTGGTAAACAACGAGACTTTAAAGGAAATTGATTATGATTTCAAGAAAGCCATATATCCTAGATTTTTGCGTCAATTACCACAACTTGGGATCACGGTACCAGAATTACGATCATTATATTTGGTAATAAAACAGTGTCGGAGGAAACTATAAATTATCTTTCTGATTTTATCGGCGATCAGCATATCTATAGAGGCATTATACAAGCAATTGATACTCAAATGAATTCTAATGTTAACGAGTCGACTTACTTGTACAAATTTTCGTACAAAAGTGAAACCTCTCCTGTGAAGAAAATATTTTTTCAAAAACCGCTTTCAGGTATTGCGTTGTTAATTAAAATAGAACTATGTAAAATCAAATTAATATTACAGTTAGAAAAGAAGTAAACGTGAAATTTTTTTCTACATATGATTGTAAGAAGACACACGTAGTTCTGGAGAAATTTGATTTAAAAAATTTAGAGAACATTTAAATATAAATTTTATAATGCACTTGTAATGTATGGAAAAATTATCAACGTTTGAAATTAATTTACGTAACAATATTTTGCAGGTACATCTCACTTCGAGGAATGGGCTATTTATTTTATCCTCATATAGGAAAAACATTCGGTGTGTTACCATTTGCACGTGGTACGCCGGATTATAAAATTATGGAATACTTAACGCAGATGTGGACAATTTTGCTAAAACGGGGTACCGTAGACTTGACATTTCTTATACGAATATTTATTGTGACATCGTACAATCACGTAAATAATAATCAATTACACATTTATTGCAGAAATCCAACACCTTCTTCAGCTAATTTTACATGGTCTCCAGTGAAAAATGGAACTACGTATGATTATTTAAATATTATTAAAAAACCTCGAATGAAGATTCTTATGAAAGGAAACCAACGATGGGATTGGAGAACAGACTTAAATTATCAAAAGGTTATACCAAATTCGAACAATTTTCTACCACACAGAACCATTCGTTAACTATACGAAACTTTACACAGACCTATAGTATGAGATAAAATAAAAGAAATCTAACTCTAAAATTATTATTAACATTATTACTATAATTAGAAATTAAGCCTTGTGAAAATGAAATATTAACAAAACTACATTCTTTATTATATAGAATTTTATTTTAAGATTTAGTTACTAAAATATAGTATGTACATGTTAAAAATTGGAAACAGAAAAAATTATAACATCCCTCTCGACATTTTTGCTGAAGAATATAATTTTGAGATACTCTGTATATATAATTCTATATACCTATATAAAAATCTAACCCTTATAGAAATTTATCACTAGTAACACCAATTTATCTCTTATTTCGAGAGCTTACTCACTTATTTCGAGTACTTGAATTACTGTATATCAGTATTTTAAGTACTCGAAATAAGTAATTAATTGGCGTTACTAATATTAAATTTCTACAAGGGAACTACGTTGTAACTTTTAGTAACACTTAAAATTTTTCTTATATTTTTCTTTTTCAAAGGAATGACATTGAAAAGTATCCGTTCGTTGATATTGTTGTACATACATATATCTGTGTAATAAAATTTATTAGTTGTACAGATAGCAAAATGATTTATAAAGAAAATTAATTTTGTTACATAAGAAGATTCTTTATCTGCAACTAGACAAATTTGGTTTGAAATATCGAAGATTTGTTAATAGTAGTCTTATTGCTGTTACAATGTATATATTTAATAAGCGACGACGTTTTTTTTGTAGCGCACAAAATAATTATTTATTCATAATGTCTTCATGTTTATCAAGATACGAACTCTATTTTGACATCGCGCAGCTATTGGATCATGATAAGAAAATGTCTATATATGTTTATATATAAATACTTATTTTTCGCAATAAATTAGCCTGAGCATAAATTTTTCAGAGTTATCTTTCGCCGCATCGTCGAACAGAGTAAAAGTAAATGTGTTTGGAGGGACATTAGTCGGCATCGTCGAGGAAAGCATCTATGGTTCTTACAATGCCTTTCGTGGAATATCATATGCTAAACCTCCAGTGGGTGATCTCAGATTTCAAGTAAGTACAGATAATGATTATAAATATTACTATTTTGTTAAAGTTTCACTTTGACAAGTGATACAACTGTTTATTGGATAATTTTATAAAACAAAAGATACAGTAATTTACAAAAATTAGAAATATAATCTGTTATACAGAAGAAATGATTTTTTACATAATTTTAAGACATAATTGTACATATCATTTTAGGCAAAAAAGTTATTATAAACATAAGTCCTATTTGAACAAAGAGATATTACGTATTCAGTTTTAAGAATGACTACATTCATTAACTTATTACAATCAAATACTATGAAACTTTAAACTTGCAATACATTTGAATAATTAATATTAATTAATAAACATTTTCAATTAATTAATAATAATTTGCATGAATTAATATAAACCATTTTAATTACATCAGGAACAAAAATTTAAAACTAACAAGATTTGCCGAAGGTAAACTAATGTTTACAAAAATGTAATATAATTCTTTCATAGCATTTAATTTTATTAAGTTAACCAATGTTTGCGTTCTTAAACTTGAACATTATATCTTCATAACAGTTCAGAATAGGACACATTTTTACAAAAACTGTTTTGCTTAAAATGATGTATACAATCGAGTTCTAGTATGCTGACCTCATATACGACGTTTTATGCATTATCGCGACAGGTAGGAAAGACTGGATATATGGTTGTGAAGTTTTTGAGAAAATTTATGCTACGTTTTATCGAACAATGTGTTCCTTTTTATGTTACGATTATGAAATGTATGATTATTTATAAAAATCTCTCCTCAAAGTTAAAAGTCGACCAGACTGGCAATCATTTATTATAATAATTAGTTGAAATACAACGTTTCGGCTGTCATTGCAGCCCTTTTCAAGTAAATCTATAAAAAGTTACATAAATATAATTATAATTTTGATACACTTCATCGCTACAAATGAAGTAAATTGTGAGATGTCATCCCATCGGTTTTCTATTGCTATTTAATTAGCTCCCACGGGGTGTTTGTGAAAAGTGAAGTTACATCCAACGAAATCATAACATGACTATCATCAATGTTTTTATCTTTGATGATTCCACAAAGGACCAACTATCCTTGATATGAGATCGAGGTTTCTTGACTGCATTTTGCAGTATCTCACTCAAAAAGGATGCAATGTTATAACAGGACTTCCTACCGTTGAAATTATGATACAAAGAGGATAACCTACCTTATGGATCTTTGGTAAACCATAGGCACGAGGCAAATTACCATTAGTGTCGTGTATAAATTGAATGTGCGAATTGTGATTCCACGTATATTGGACAGACAAAGAGACATTTAGAAACGCGCATCAAAGAACATAGAAATAATATCAAAAAAGACACGACATTACATTCAGTCGTAGTTTGCATTGCATCGGACTTGCAACGATCATGAGTTCCGTTGGGATTTTCCGCTGATCTTGCATCAAGAAAAACAAACAAGAAAAAGAGAAATTGCAGAAAGGTTTTATATAAAAAAACAACGTAAAAAGCATTAATTTACAGAAAGATACGGAGAATTTTAGTGGGATTTATGATCGTGTTCTTGACGCTATTTAACTTATTTTTATTTTTATACTTACCTATTTATTTATTTATTTGACTTTGTTATGACGTTTTAAATAGCAAAAGACACATTAGTTTGTCTCTACTTTCTTAACGCGTAGTGACTAAGATTCTTGCTAACTGTTAACATCTATTTATTTCGCGCTCACTTCTGTCAGTTCTGCATTGTTCATCTAACAATGTTTAATATTGTCGGTGGTTTGCAGTGAATTTGATTTACTGTATTAATTTGGTATGTAGCATATTTTTGGTTTTTGAATGTATAATTATTTGTAGCGATGAAGCGTATCAAAATTATAATATATTTTATGTAACTTTTTATAGATTTACTTAAAAGGGCTGCAATGACAGCCGAAACGTTGTATTTCAACTAATTATTATAATAAATGATTGCCAGTCTGGTCGACTTTTAACTTTGAGGAGAGATTTTTGTTATTTATTACTGGCAAACCTTAAGGATTATTATTCGTTTGATTATTTATCTTCAAAATGCGATAAAAGACGCCAGAATAAGTTATTTGTAACTAGGAAATATTAATTTATTTTATGAAATTTGCCAGTGTAACTTTCTACTCCCGGTCCTAGGGTTATATTATTCGACGAATTTCAATTATGTACATAATTTTAATTAGCCGTATTTCAATTATATGAACATAACTTTTATTCGCCGACTTTTTATTGTGCACAAAAATTTAGTTTTTTATTTTTTATATATATACTTAATTATTCTTGAATTTCTATTATGCATATAATTTTAATTCGCCGTATTTCTATTATGTAAACAATTGAAATTGTACATAATAGAAATTCGGCTAATTAATATTATGTACATATAGAGAAGAATGAGAAGATTTTTGTTTTAATATATCTAGATAAAAGATAAATTTACATGGCGATTGATCTAGATAACTTCCGAATAATATTGTTTTTAGATCGCTTATGGACACAGTTATATAAAAAATTTAGATTATAAATGAGATATAAAATATATTCATACTTTTATTTCTAAATTTTTATCGCTTATTGCTTAAGTTATAATAATTAATTATTTCTATGCTATGACTCTAAATCAAATTATCTGAATAATTTAGTAACAATAACCCTTTCCGCCATCTAAGATGCAGATATAGATAATACATATTTCTATTATCTATATCAAGATAAGATTACTTCAAAATTTTATCTAACTGATCATCTATAAAATTTTATTTAAATTACAAACATTGATTGTAGGATCCGCAGCCACCAGAACCAAGGTCCAGCGACAGAGACGCTTCGTCTAACGGAAACGTCTGTCTTCAGAGGAAAACGAACGTTGTCATAGGCAAAGAAGACTGTCTCTATTTGAACGTGTATGTATGCCAACGATGTGACGCCTTCAAAGAAAAGTGCTGTGATGGTGTGGATACATGGTGGAGGCTTTTTTATGGGAGACGGCACCTCGTTTTATTACGGTCCCGATTATATCATGCGGAAGGATGTGGTACTCGTCACCTTAAATTACAGATTAGGTGTTTTAGGTACATTATTAATTAGCTCGAAATCATTTTGTTACTTGCGTTCGATGATCTACTTTTTTTTAAATAAACACATACGACGCATTCTACTTTCCACAATTCAAATAATTTACGTGTATGTATGATTATTTTAAAATACCAATTTCAAAATAATAACCAATTTTTATAACTTATAACTTTTTTATTAATTTTACGTTCGTAACTTTTTTCAAAAATTTTGTATTTTTTTAACATTGTCAAATTATAAAGTAATTAAAAAAACTCGTGAAATCAATTTATTTAATTATCGAAATGTTCATATATTTATATAACTTACATAAATAAAATAGGAATATTAAATAATCGGCCAAACTTGCACAAATTAAAATTTATTAAGTTTCACGACGTTTCGAACATGTGGTTGTGGTCCTTTTCAAGTGAAAAACGTTAAAAACATTTCAACTACATGGTCAAAACGTCGTAAAACTTAATTAATTTTAATTTGTGCTAGTTTGGTCGGCTATTTAATATTTCTTATTTTACTGACTAGCGAATACGAATATTTAAGACTTGATAGTAAATTTTACTAAACGTATTAACGACATGTTTCTCTCATTTTCTCTTTAGGTTTTCTCAATTTTGATGAGGAAATGGCGCCGGGAAATCAGGGCTTAAAAGATGTAGTTATGGCGTTAAGATGGGTTCAAAACAATATATTGCAATTCGGTGGAGATTCCGATAACGTCACAATTTTTGGTCAAAATGCGGGTGGAGTGATGGTACACTATCTGACTATTTCACCGTTAGCTAAAGGTACGAATCAAAAACACATAATATTGATATACATATATTAAGAATATTTATGAACACATTATATACGAAAAAAAATAAAAAATGTTTATAGCTTTGCTATAGCAAAAATTTTTAATTAAGATTTTTTTTCATTTTAACTTAAATCTTGATTGCAAACTATATAATATCGACGTTTTAAAACGTCATAAAAAATTACTTGAAAGATAACTGATAACATCCTTCAGTAAAAAAATTTTAAATAGAGAATTGAAAATTAAAAGCACGCTGATTAATTTTATGTGTTATATTGAGTCAAAGAGAAAAAAGTAAAGATCTCATGATAAAATCATATTAAACTTCAAGTGCCAATTATATTATGTGCGAATGTGTGCTTAACAGGTTTATTTCATAAAGCAATATGTCAAAGTGGTGTCATGACAGTTCCTTGGGCTTTTACTGAACGAGACGATGCTATCAATAACGGTCTGATGTTAGCCCAGAAACTTGGTAATGCGACTTCAGATCCAGAAGTCGCCTTGGAATTTCTGAAAGAAATAGACGGAACAAATTTGATAGCAGCGGAGGTCTTTTGACGCTCTATTACGATTATTGCAATAATAATGTTCGATGAATTACTATAAACTATTTTTTTATATTAATAATATTATGTTCTTGCAGATTGGCTTAGATATTTTGCTTGCATTTACGCCGACCGTGGATTCCAAGTCATCCAATCCTTTTTTACCAGAAAATCCATTGCAATTATTACGTAATGGAATTGAAATACCAATCATGTTTGGATATAATAGCCAAGAAGGCAATTTTTTCATAAGTGATATTGTCGGCCGTAAGTATATATATTTGCTTTTGCTTTTTATTATTACACATTATTAGAATATCATGAATCACTTTATAACGTAAAATTTTCATAGAAAGGTGATCTGCAATATTTTGAAAATGTTTTAATGTACACACAATGTTATAATAAATTTAATCAATATTAATAAATTTTAGGATTTCACAGCAGTATGTAACTTTTAAATGTACAAAGAATTATTAATTATTTATTTAATGAAATCGTTTCAAAATAATAGAGTTATATATTTATTTAAAATACCTAAATAAAAATCGTTATATAAATTAAAAATAAAATTAAAATTAAAATACAATAAATTAAGTTAAATTAAAATTAAAATCGTTATTCAAATATTTTTAGTAGTAAACAACGAGACTTTAAAGGAATTTAATTCTGATTTCAAAAAAGCCATATATCCTAGAGTTTTGCGTCAATTATCACAAGTTGGAATCACGGTACCGGAATTACGATCATTGTATTTTGGTAATAAAACAGTGTCAAAGGAAACGATAATGAATCTTTCTGATTTTATCGGCGATCAGCATATCTATAGAGGCATTATACAAGCAATTGATACTCAAATGAATTCTAATGTTAACGAGTCGACTTACTTGTACAAATTTTCGTACAAAAGTGAAACCTCTCCTGTAAAGAAAATATTTTTTGAAAAGGCGCTTTCAGGTATTGCGTTTTAATTAAAGTAGAACAATGTAAAAATCAAATTTATATTAGAGTTAGAAAAAAGTGAACGTGAAATTTTTTCTATATATGATTGTGAGAAACACACGTAGTTTGGGAGAAAATTGATTAAGAAAAATTTAGAGAACATTTAAATATAAACTTTATATTGTAATGTAAGGAAAAAGTTATCAACTTTTGAGATTAATTTACGTAACAATATTTTGCAGGTACATCTCACTTCGAGGAACTGGGCTATTTATTTTATCCTCATATAAAAAAATGTTTCGGTGACTTATTAATTGCACATGGTACGCCGGATTATAAAATAATGGAATACTTAACGCAGATGTGGACAGATTTTGCTAAAACGGGGTACCATAGACTTGACATTTCTGACAAATATTTATTGTGACATCGTACAGTCGCGTAATAATAATCAATTACACATTTATTGCAGTAATCCAACACCTTCTGCAGCTAATTTTACATGGACTCCAGTGAAAAATGGCACTACGTATGATTATTTAAAATTAATAGAAGACCTCAAATGAAGATTTTTATTAAAGAAAAACCAACGATGGGATTGGGAGAACAGACTTATATTATCAAAAGGTTATACCAAATTGGAACAATTTTCTGATACAGAACCATTCGTTAACTACACTTCATACAGACCTATAGTATGAGATAAAATATGAAGAAATCTAACTAAAATTGAATAGCTCTGAAAAGAAACTTTTGATGCAAAAAACTGACAAACTAACAAAAGACTGACAGTGAGAAACAAAGTAATGTATCAATGGTGACCAAAGCTCAATCGTTTTCCCAATTTAATAGCCTCCTTTTTTTAAACACATAATCTGTTTATTAGGTATAGGTATATGTATATATACTGTATATACATATATGTAGATATAGTATACATATATGTTTACTGTATGCAATATTTAGAATAATAATATGTATAGTATACATATATTATTTTTTCCAAATATTTTTTACTTTTAATACTTTTAAAGTAATCCCAAAAATATTTTACAATTCTTGGTTAAAAATTTATTAAACCCTAAACGTATGAAAAATATATTCTTTTAAGAATAAAATGTCTTTCTTTTCTCCATGTATCTTTATTTAAATCCTTTTCTGTTTTTGAAAAAAAACTAATGTCCTATAAAATGATAACTGGGTTGTTACAATACTGTTATTGAATCATGCTTGACTGACCCATTCATCCAGTGAGGAAATTTTCGAGAAAAAAAGAAAGAAAAAACTAATTTATATTTTTTTTCTATTCATTATCTTCTTTTGGCTTAGACGTATGAGTTTGTAAACGAGAAGATAATCAAGAAATACAAAATCGATATTTGCGCGCTACGTATTTGATAAGTCTCGAATTATTATCAATAACGTTATCAGCGATATTCATAATGATTGTCATCAAAAAATGACGAATTATCATTCCTCGCCAGTCCAACTCGTTTTATAATCATATGCTTCCAAATTCCAAGTTCGATTGCGTAAACGTAAATATGGCCGCATTAATCCCGACGGAGACATATCGACAGTCACGCTGGGTGGATCTCGACCAGATTACTAGCGCCGATTTTGGCGTTATTCATTCAGTGTCCGTCATGCACGGCGACTGACGTGGACGTGCGCCAGGTCCAATTAATCGATATCGTCGAGGAAAATATGATCACGGCGGCCTTACTCCGCTTCGAAGCGGCAATTACATCGCGTTCCGAGGAATACCGTACGCGAAACCGCCGGTCTGTAAACTATAGGTTCAAGGTGAGTGCTCTCTCACGTGTCTTGTTATCCTTTTTAGCAAACTTGAAACTCGAGTTTGCCTTTCTATCCAGAAGTGGGAATTGAGGAGTTTCGGTTATACTGAAGAGTCTCGGTTATACGGAAATTACAGTTAAATAAACAATTGTAGACAAACGACTTAATTATTTTCAAGTTTTTTTAATTGTTAGATAATCTCATATAATTGTGAACAATTTGGAAAATAACAATCAATCGCCATTGAATAATTTGTAAAATTTATGGAAGAGTTTGAAAAAGTTAGGAAAATATAATCCTTATTGTAAGTTGATTTTTAATTACAGCAATGACAATCTCAGGTGTAATCTTGAAGAATATCTCTTTCTATAATTGATTTTTAATGTGAATTAAGCTTCTCTTCTCTATGTAAGATTTGTGTAGGTTTCGCGCTCTTCACGAAAGTAAACTTTAAGAAAAGTTATATATATCGTATTATACATATATATATATATATATATTATATATATATATATATATACATACATATGTATGTTATATATATGTATATATATGTATATATATATATATATATATATTTGTGTGTGTGTATACCTATATCTGTATATAGTGTATACTAATTTACTCCATAAAATAATATAAAATTCTATATAAATGAGACATTTTATGCGGGTATATATATATATATATATATATATATATATATGTATATATATATTACTATAGTACAAATATTATGTATATTTTGTTAATATAACTAATATACATGTATATCAATTATAATTAACTCACGCATATATGTATTAATAATATATATAATGTAGTAGTTTTATAAATATAATTAATATTTAAAAATAACCATTTTAAATAAATTATTTTGTAATTAAATTATAATGAAATTATCAAATTAAATTTTAATTAATTAACTTTTAATAAAATAAAATTATTTTTAAAAATCACCCAGCAAACACAAAGCGACAATAATATATACATATATGCAAACATCAGTGTTATTTATTATTATTTACTTAATGATACATGTATATCTGTATAGTTATATGTATAACTGTAATGCATATGTATGTTATATTTTTTTTTCCTGACGAGGAGGTGAAAATCTGCTACCAGACACCTCTGAATCGGTCCAGAGATAGTGCGGGGTTCAGTGCAATGGTGCGGGGGCATAATAATCCCCCCGCAGCCTTAGGTGACCCGCTAAACCACCCCCCATAACAAGAAAGTACTACTCGATCTTATTTCAGCTCAAACTTATTGTTATTTTGTGTTTGCTGAGAGGGAAAGGCCTCATCCCCGCCCTTCCTGTGAGGCACAATCAAAAAATTTGCCCCTCCATATTTTACACCTGAAAAAGCAAACAAATAATTAGGGGTGAGAACGGCCCCTCCCCGCTATTCTCTGTGAAGCACGTCCAAAATTTGATGCTGCTTCTCCAAAGTACCTTAAAAAAATATTAAATTGACCATACTTACTCAAGTTTCCCTGCTCTTCTAGGTACTTCAGTACTTCCATATTATCTTCGTCTACGCGTTCTGTATCCTCTTGGATTTTATCATCGTCCACGTCATTTTCCTGGGTTTCTTCAGCGATGTTATAATCCTCATTCTTGGTGAAAAATAAAAATTGTCAGAATTCCCATAAAAATTGCGTAAAATCAGAATATCTGTATCGGAAATATTTTCACAAGCAACGTTCTGCTCTGTCTTTGAATGTATTTTATTTATCATTTATAGCAATACGAAAAAATGCAAAAGCGTCATTTTATCTTTAATTTTCATTGAATAATGTATCATTATATTAACGTAAATCGACGTCTATTCTATTTTTATTGATATCTAGTGAAAATAAAGATAGAATAATATATTAACGTTAATTTATATCTATATAAACATTATAAAATGCATTCAAGATAGGAACAAAATATAAATATTATAAAAATACAATAAAAATAGGGTAAAATATAAAACTGATAAATCATAAACATTTCAGAAATATTCATTAATATATAAAAAATTTGTGTAAAATTACACCTATTATAGTGGGTATTTTGAAACTCACTATAATAGTTGTAAATTCATTCATTTATAATGTATAGTATACATTTAAAATTAATTTCTTAATTTGAAATAAAGTAGATTTAAATACAATCTACTTTATTTTAAATTGAGAAATTAATTTTACTTAGATTTAAGTACAATCTACTTTATTTTAAATTAAGAAATTAATTTTACTTGTATATTATACATTTATAAATAAAATAGAAATTTACAACTATTATAGTGGGTTTTAAAATTACATGTAATTTTACATAAATTTTTTACAGTGTGTGTTAAATAGAACACTTTAAAATTATTCATAAATATTCTAGCAGTAATATTGAATTATTTTGCATATTATAAATTTACTAGCTTTTCGGACCGCGCGAAGCGCGGTCCTCATATAGTCTATATTAAATTCGTTTTAACACAAAAAATTAATTCTTTTTTTTGTATTACCGCGAACTACTTCCACATTTGTTGTCCGACTTTCACGAAATTTATACCAAAATAAATGTTTAAATTTTTTTGTGGATGACTACTATGTTATCTATTTCTTTCTCCAGATATTTTTTTTTACACCGCGTTTTGCATATATTTAAATATTTATTATATAATGATAGTAATTTAATCAACCAACTCTGGCTATTTAATGATCTTTATTTAATATTCACGACGTTTCGGCCATGGGTTTCGGCCCTTATTAAGTGCTACAAATTATAATAATGACAATTATTAGAAAATTAAAAAATTAATTAAAAGTAACTGAGTAACAATAAATATTTCCACACATTAATATGTATCCTACCTAAAACACAACTTTCTATATAGAAACTTAATTTCTGATCTTAAAATGTGACATGATATAATGTGAAACAATTAACTATATTATTGTGTTGGTTTCAAGCTCTTTATATATTCATTACTTCGATCAAACTAAACGACCTTATTAGTTTATCGTAAACAATATTTAGATTATCCGTGTCTTTTTGTAAATTGATTGTGTTGTCAAATTTTTTGATAAAAAACATCTCCGCGATTTCTCTTTTTCGTACATATTTCTCATGATGTAAAATTTCAGGAGCGGACCAATCAAAATCATGACCATTATCGAATTTATGATTACTAATGACTGAATAATTACTATTGTGTACCTTAATATTATTAAAATGTTCTTTTATGCGTGTGCCTAATTGTCGTTTAGTCTGACCGACGTATGATGAGGAACAATTTGCGCAGTTAATTTTGTATACAACTCCTGTTTTTTCTTTTAAAGGCAAAGGATCTTTGACACGTTTAATTAGTGTATTCAATTTTTTCGGTATACAATAAACGCTATGCATGCCCGTAGATTGCAATAATCTCGAAACGTCTTCACTTAGTTCTTTGACGTACGGTAATTTTATGATGCGGTCAAATTTTTCACTAACTAAATTATCATTGTCAACATTGCGATCGTCGTTTTTTCGTGTCTCAATTAATTTTAGCCTATTTTTTACAAACTTATTAACCACATTCGACGGAAAACCATTGTTTATCAGTATCGATTTAACCTTAGCGATGTTTGCTGGATGAAAACTGTCGTCCGATAATAAAATCGCATGATCGACCAGACTAAAAATGGTATTCTTTTTGTATTTAAAGGGATGGTTTGAATAATAATTGTTATATCTACCCGAACAAGTGGGTTTCATAAACCAATTAGTTAATAGAATACCATTCTTTCTCATCACAGTAGTGTTCA